AAAAGGGATGGAGACAAAATACATCCCTGATGGACCCCTTTCTTGATTTTGAACCATCCAGTGTCTCCCTGCTCTGTTCTGACAACTGCCTCTTGGTCAAAGTACAGGTTTCGCATAAGCACAATCAAATGTTCTGGGATTCCCATTCTTCTCAGAGTCAGCCACAGCTTGTTGTGATCCACACAGTCAAAAGCCTTTGCATAGTCAAAGAAGCACAGATAGACATTCCTCTGGTATTCTCTGCTTTCTGCCAAGATCCATCTAACATTAGCTATAATATCCCTAGTAAACGACCTCTACTAAATATATATGGCAGTTCTCTGTAGACCTATTGCTCCAATCGTTTTTGGATAATTTTCAGCAGAATCTTACTTGCATGTGATATTAATGATGTTGTTCAATAATTTCCGCACTGTGTTTGGTCACTTTTCTTTGGAATGGGAACAAATATCGATCTTCTCCAGTCACTTGGCCAGCTGGCTGCCCTCCAGATTTCTTGGCACAACTTAGTGAAGACATCCAGGGCTGCATCTGTTTGTTCAAATATGTCAATTGGTATGCTGTCAGCTCCTGGAGTCTTGTTTTTTGCCAATTCCTTCAGAGCAACCCGAACTTCCTCTATTATCTAATGAAAATCTTAACCTGCTCAGTAAGGGGCAAACATTATTTGCGTCCAAGACAGATACTTTATACAATCTATGAAACAATATTTGAAAACATACAAAATAATGTAAAAGTTTTAATTGAATCTTAAAATTTCTAGCCAACTTTTTTGGGTACTAGATAGATTGTGGCTTTTCTTTACAATCATCTCTGAAACTTCAATACCAGTATAGTATTGATACCAAATGCACATTAACAGATAGGGAACAGATTTTTATTTAGCAGCCCTACTGATAAACCAAAAGAAACTAGTCTATAAAATATTATTTTAGCATTTCTTCTTTCTTGAGCCTCAAATGAAATTAATGTACCATTTTAGGTTGGTGGCCACAGTCTGTTTTTTCTGTGATTGATTTAAATTTGAAAGTATAGTGAGTCACAATATTTGGAATTAGAAATATCATATTCTTCCACTTCTCCAGTTCTCGTTTTGTTTCTTGTAATCATGTTTTGCAATCTTCTTTAAACAGATCCTTTGTGCTTCTGGTTAGGTTTACTTCTAAGTATTTAATTTTGGATTAGCAATTGTGAAGGGTATTGTTTTTCTCAGCTCCAGTTCTGTATTCTCTTTGTTACTGCGGAGAAATCCAATTGATTCTTGTATGTCGATCTTGTGTCCTGCCACTTTGCAGAATTGGTCAACTATGTCCAGTAGTTTTCTTGCTGAGTCTTTCATGTTTTCTAAGTAAACTATCTGCATAGAGAGATAATTTTACCTCTTCTTTGCCAATTTGAAATAAAGAATATACTTTGCTGATGTATTGGAAGACTCGATATTGTAAAAATGACAATACTACCAAAAGAAATTTACACATTAAATGCAATCTCAATATGAATACTAATTTCATTCTTCAATGAGATGGAAAAGGCAATCTCCAATTTCATTTAGAATGGAAAGAGGTCCTATATAAGCAAAGCACTCCTTAAAAAGAGACACAAGGTAGGAGGCATCTCACTTTCTGATTTCAAATACTACCACACTGCCGTGGTGGTCAAGACAGCATGGTACTGGTATAATGACAGACACACAGATCAATGGAATAGAATTGAGAACCCGGAAATCAGGCCATCTACCTATGGTCAACTGATTTTTGACAAGGAGATGAAATCAGTTAAGTGGGGAAACGACATCCTTTTTAACAAATGGCACTTGCAAATTCGGAAAACTATCTGTAGAAAACTCAAGCAAGATCCACACCTCACTCCATACACAAAATCCAACTCAAAGTGGATCAAGGATCTAAGACTAAAACCAAGGACGATAAACTTCATTAAAGAAAAGCTTGGAAGAACTCTTGAAGCCCTAATCCACAACATAAACAGTCTTCCAAGCATCCTGAGAAACCTACAACCAGGAGAGGATAAAATAGATGAATGGGAGGTTCTAAAAATTAAATACCTATGCACATCTAAAAACTTCTCCAACAAGGTGAAAAGGCAAGCCACAGATAGGGAAAAAAATATTTGGTCTGATAATGGATTTATTTCTAGATTTTATAAAATACTTAAGTACAACAACAAGATAAAGGGAAACAACCCAATTGAAAACTGGGCACAGGATATGAACAGACTCTTCACCAAAGAAGATACTCAGACGGCAAACAAACACATGAGTAAATGTTCAAAATCCCTAGCTCTAAAAGAGATGCAAATCAAAACAACTATTGAGATATATCACCCCACTAAGAATAGCAAAATTTAATAGAACAGTAAACAATAAATGCTGGTGAGGTTGCGGAGAAACTGTAACCTTTATTCATTGTTGGTGGGAGTGTAAAATGGTGCAACCACTGCGGAAAGGCTATATGGCACTTTCTCAAAAAGTTCTAAATAGAAATAATATTTGACCCAGCAATTCCACTACTGGGAATATACCCTAAAGAAATCAGAACTGCCATCCAAACAGATATATGCACACTCATGTTTACTGCGGCTCTGTCTGCAGTAGCAAAGTTCCGGAAATAGCCCAAGTACCCATCAACAAACGAATGGATAGAGAAGCTCTGGTATAGTCACACAATGGAACACTATGCTGCATTGAAAAACAAGAAACTCATGAAATATTATGTAAAGTGGATGACCCTGGAGGACTTTATGCTGAGTGAAATATTTCAGTTACAAAACAACAAATACTGTACAATGCCACTGTTGTAAAGTGGGACTGACATCGGAGTTGGGGGGAAACTAAGAGGGGATAAATAATATATACTGTTATTGAAACAAATCAGGGAGAGAATTGTTTAGGAGGAATATATGATTAGGTATTATTGACATAAGAGTCCAGAATGAAAGCCACATAGTGGAGTGGACTGGGGGTAGGGAGGCGAGGTTGTACATCAATGAAAGAATTTTGGGTTGGTTTGGTTTTTTTTTACTTTCAAAGAGAAAAGTGAACTTGGGGGAGTAGTGGGCAGGGAGGGAAATGTATAACAACAAATGAATGGAAATCCAAAGTCTCCGTAAACTTTTATTAAAATAAAACAAAAACCCATCAACCAAAAAACCCACCAGAGCAGCAGTTGATTTTAGTTGATTCCAACTCCACAATTTGTATCAAAAACAACAATAATACAGAACTAAGAGAGTTGAACAGAAGATTTTAAAAGGCAGCTGGAGAATATGAAACAAAGTATTATAACTAAATGTGCAAAGAGCTGGAGTTAGACAATCAAAAGGAGTTAGACATTCAATATTTCTCAAACTGAAAAAAACTAAAGAGCTATCTGAAGCCTTGAGTTGCAATATGGATAGAATCTATGGGCAAAATCTTGAATCGTGCAGGAAGAATTCAAAGAAGATGGCAGAAATACATACAGTCACTGAACCAAAAAGAAATGGTCTATGCTCAAAGATTTCAGGAGCAAATGTACAAATCAAGAATCACTGATCCTACAGGGAGAAGTCTATGTTTCACTGACGGCATTAATGAAAAACAAGGCTCTAGAAATCTGATAGAATACCAACTCAGACATTTCAATAAACAGATGTAGTCTCAGATGTGAGTACTTGTCTATGCTAAAAAACTTGAAAAACAGATAGATACCTGGTTATTTGGAAGATAAACTTCAATGGTTTTGCTTTTCCAAAGAATTTAGCTTAAGACACAATGCTTATTTTCAATATCGTATCAGAAGTTCAAGACAAGAGAAAATGATAAGAAAAACAAATAAAAGTTATCCAGATAGAAATTTTTCTCTGCTACGGCTGCCATTATCCTGAACGCTGGATGGAGTGCCAAAGGAACAAACAGATGTCTTGGAGAAAGTGCAGCCAGAGTGCTCCTCAGAGGCAAGGATGGTCATGTTGTTAGGAGGGGCTGTTTCTCAGAGAGGGAGACACCATGCTTGAAAAGGTCAGCAAAGAAGAGGAAGACCCTCAACAAGATGGAACCACACAGTGACTGCCACAACAGGCTCAAGTATGTCAGAGATGATGAGAATGGCACAGGATAGGACAGGCTCAGATCTGTTGTTCATAGTGTCACAATGAGTTGTACTCAACTTGATGGCACATAATAAGAACAAAAATAGAAAATCACAAAGAGTTCACTAAAAAACTTCCAGAGTTAACAGAGAACGTTGACAAAAATTTCAAGGTATAAAATCGGCAAACAAAAAAAGATCTAGCACTGAGAATTCTGAAAGGAAAAAGTTGGGTAATAATTTCATTTCTAATAGCAAAAAATAAAATGCCAACAATAAATTTTACCAGGTGTGTGAAAAGACTGCACATATAAAATACCACATAAAGAGATTAAGCTGGGTTTAAATAAAATAAATAGAAAGATGAGTCCTGTCACTGTCAACCCACTTCATTTTCCTTTGCTAAGATGACAACTCGCTTTTTGATTATTCAAAGAAATGCACACTTAAAACATGTGCTCAATTCTGTATGTATAATATTGATCATGAAAAAACAGAGTTCTAAAAAAAAGAAAATAATTTACATTTCTCCCTAAAGCCCATAGCCATTATGTATGGGGAAGACACAGAAGAGATTCCTTCTCCAAGAAGGAAATAAGACTTAAAAATGGCAAATAAAATTTAAACAAGGCTGCTCATACATTCCTTCAGAAGTATTAAGATTTTTTTTTCTCTCTCTCTCTCACGATGGTCATGAATAAGCCAGTGTTTCTGTTCTAGAAGATGTAGGTCAATTTCTAATTGTCTTCTTCTGGTATTTCTCTATAAAATGTGAAAAAACTAACTTAGCTGTAAATGTTCAATGAGAATCACAATTAAAGTAAAATTTCATTTTTTAAAAAAAGTGACAAGTTACTGCTAATATCTTTTCTTGTCAAACAAATCATAATGACAGAGTGAGTTATTTGCACTTACCAGGGAGGGTAGATGTGCACAATGTCCTGCGGACGTCCCTTAAGGTGCTCTGCTGTCTCCTTGGTGAAAAGAACCTTCAAGAAGACCCTGGGCCTGGTGGCCAAACCCAGTAAAGGACTGTCACTTTGCAGTCTCTCTAGCTGCTCACAAAAGGCCACCTGAATGGTGCATTCCTCATGAAGCTCCAGAATTTTCACAATTAATAGACCAGGTTCCCTCCCTACAAGTTGAATAAAATAACAAAAGCAAAAAATGAAATCTAAAAGATCAATTAAATGTGCAGAAAAGAATCAATAATGACGTCTATTAACAAAGGAGAACAGGCCCTATCAGTAACATCCACAAAACCAACTGCTGTAAAGTCAGACTTAACCTCTAAGCTCACTTCTATCATTCTAACATCAACTGTCCCTTCCAGGGCTCTCAATACTATACTACTATGTCTGCAATTTGTTGAAATGGTCACACAGATCTCACAGAACCATACTCATCATTATTGCATTTAATAGGTTACATGCAGGTTGGCAACAGGATACACAATTCTTCAATCAGAAGCCTGGCAGCCTCTCAAGCTGACAGGCTTTTCAGTCATCAACCCTGCTGCTTTAGGCCAACATTTCAAAGCTATCTTAGTCCCATCACTTCTTAATCTGGTGGCAACAAAATGCATCGAAAAAGTGACTACAGTAATAGGTTCCAGCATATCAAAGCTGGTGAGGATGGCAAAGAACAGGGACAGGTTCGGATCTACTACTCGTAGAATGGTTAAGAGTTTTAGGAAGTTGTGGTGGCTTAGTGGTAAGAAATTGTGCTGCCAATGTAAAGGTTGTCACGTACTATCGAGTTCCAACTGACCCATAACTGACCCTCCAGAAGATTTTCAGAGGCAGTTAATCACATGGGAGGAAACTGCCCCACCTTCCGACATGAAGCAGCTGGTGGATTCGAACCCTGTGCCTTCAAGATTGCAGCACAACTTCTTGGCCACCAAGTGCTACAATGCAAAGGCACACATTTGAATTTGCCAGCTGTTCTGTGGGAGAAAAATGAGTGATCTCCTCCAGTGCAATTTACTGCCTCTGAAAATTGCGTGAGGGTCAGTTATGGGTTGGTTGCAACTCAATGGTACACAATAACCAAAAGAGTTGTAGTCAACTAGATGGCATCTAAAAATAAAACTTGTTTTCTTTAACAATCTAATTGTTCAATGTTGATATTGTACTCTGCCATTTTGCTGAGTAATATTTTTACTGTGATCCTAGGATTTTTTGATGTATGTTGTTCTTATTTATCATCAAGTTGGAAAAGACACTGTAAATTGTATAGTAATTTCAGAGGCAGTAAATTGTACATGAAGAGACTGTCCATATTTCTCCCATGGAGCAGTTGGTAAATTTGAATTGAATGCCTTTGGGCTAGCAGTGCAACTCATTCCCTTTAAGCCACCAAAGTTCCCTTTTCTATGTATATTGTTGCTGAGAGCCTTCCAAACACAACTCATAGCAACCCTATGAACATAACGTCTGAAGTCCCTCTACAACTATCGACTTTTATCAAAGTTCATTGATTTTCTGGAGGCATGTTGTTTAGGAAGTGGATGCCACTCCTGCTTCCAAAGCTGTTTGAGTCACCCGTGATTCATACCAACCCTCTGTACAGCAGCTCTGAACCCTTCCCCCTGTCCTGAGCCAGTCTCATTAATTCTGACACACCAATCCCTGTTGCCCCAGTAGGATTATATTATCTGAAAATACAGTTTTATCTACTCATTAAAATTTGGGATATTTCTATTTCTCTTCCTTGCCTTATTACCCTGGCTAGGGTTTTTAACAGAACATTAAATTGAAGTGGTAATGGAGAACATGTTTGTCTGATATGACTTTAATGATGTTGTGGAATTTGCCTTTTATTAGTTTTTTGGTGAGAGTTTTCATCAGGAATGGGGTCTGGATTTTGACTCACACTGGGTTCTCTACAGAAGTGAAACTAGTGCAGAAAAAGAGATACAGATGGATTAGTTTCTGTTAGGTATCAACTAGTCCACTATCATGCATAGTGACTCCTCCCTATACTTTGCCATTCCCACCATCTCTTAGTATGTTCAAGTTCATTATTACAATCACTATGTCAATACATCTTGTTGAGAGTCTTTTTCTCTTTTGCTGATCCGACAAGTTTCCCAGACTGATTTCTTTTTTCAAGGATTTGGCCCCTACTGACAAGATGGCTAGAGTATAGAGATGAAATGTCACCACCTTTTCCTTTAGGAACATCTTGGATGTACTTTCTCCAAGAAAGACTTGTTTGTCCTCTTGGCAGTCCATGAGATATTTAGCACTTTTCTCAAACAACATGAGTTAACAGTGTCAGGGTTTTTTCTTTATCATATTTTTTCAACTTTCAGATGTATACCAAGTAATCAAAAAGAAAACTTTTAATTAAGCACACTTTAATCTTCAAACAGACGTGTCGGCTCTTCAGCACATTAGAGGTCCTGACATCAGATTTTTCCCAATGCAAAGCTTCTTTTGATTTCTTGACTGAGATCATCCGGGAGGCTGGGCTCTATGAGGAGAAATGCGGCATCAGGATTGGTGGAAGATCTATCAACAACCTGCGTTATGCAGATGACACAACTTTGCGTGCTGAAATTGAGGAGGACCTGAAGCACTTGCTGCCAAGGGTCAAGGACTGCAGCCTTCAATATGGATTGAGGCTCAATGTGAAGAAGACAAAGATTCTCACCACTGGACCAACTGGCAGCATCAGGATGGATGGTGAAGAGATTGAGATTGTTCACAGCTTTAGTCTGCTTGGCTCCACAGTCAACATTCTTGGCACCAGCAGCCAGCAAATTAAAAGACGTATTGCGATGGGAAAGTCTGCTGTTAGGGACCTCTCTAAAGTACTCAAGAGCAACGGTGTCTCTCTGGAGACTACGGTGCGTCTGACACAGGCCATGGTCTCTGTAATCACTTGTTTTGCATCAGAGAGTTGGACAATGACTGGGGAGGACAGAAGGAGAATTGATGCTTTTGAGCTTTGGTGTTGGAGAAGAGTGCTGAGAATGCCATGGACTGCTAAGAAAACAAACAGATTCTTCCTGGAGAGGGTTAAACCGGGCTGCTCCTTGGATGAAAGGATTCTGAGGCTTTGTCTGACATACTTTGGTCATGTTGTAAGAAGAGACCGGTCCTTGGAGAAGGACATCATGCTTGGGAGGGTGGAGGGCAGGCGCAGGAGGGGAGGGCCCTATAGGAGGTGGATTGATTCGGTGACTGGGGTAATCGACATGAGTGTGTTGGAGACAATGAGATTAGCACCGGACAGAACAGAGTTTAGGGCTGTTGTGAATAGGGTCGCTATGAGTGGCATTCGACTCAACGGCACATAACAACAACATTACCTTTTGTGTTGATTGTAGATCCAAGTAAAACGTCAATCTTTTTTCTATCATGATTATGCCTATTGGCCCAGTGGTGAATATTTTTGTTTTCTTGTATAGATATAGAGACAGAAGTTTATCTCTAGGAAATAGCTCAAGTACTTCTTGTTAAGATAGAGAGATAAGCTGGCCCAGTGGACAGAAGGCGATGATACTACCAAGCCGAAGGTGGGTGACTTTTAATCTGCAGCCCTCGGGCCTGTCTTTCATTGTTTTTGTTCAGACATTCCTCTCAGACATAGCCCTGTTGTACAAGTTGCCATACAGCGATAACTTGTGGTTGCTGTGAGGCTGAATACTGTAACACTGGTGTGTCAAATGCGTTAATGGCTGGTTACCCAATGTGGACAGAGATTGGGGTGGAGCTCCCCGATTAAAACAAACTTGGAAGGAGGAGTGGCATCCACTTCTGTAATAGATTGCCTCTGGAAACCCTATGAACCTGGAGAGGATGAGAGACACCCAAGTGTTGAGGACTCTCCTTCATGGGGTCACTATGAGTCACCTGTGACTCGACGGCACTTAACAACAACAATAACAACTTCTTGTTGATTGCCTTTGAGTTGAGCACGACTCATAGCAACCATGTGTAAACAAAAGCCCTGAAGCCCCTCTACAATTATCGACATTTATAAAAATTCATAGTGTTTCCAGAGGCATGCTGGTTAGGAAGTGGATGCCACTCCTGCTTTCAACAAGTACTAGCGGAAGGCAATTTCCACATCCATGGGTCAGATAGCAGGCTAGAGACTAAAGGTCAGCTGGTTAGATGGAAAAGTATTTCTTGTAAAAGCTGTGGTTTAGTGGTGAAGAACTGTAGATCTAATCAAGGAAGTAATAACATTGTAGGAAGCCAAATTCACATAAAACTTTAACCATCACAGACTTTATGAAATGCTTCTTTTTAATAGATTGATATGATCACGTGATGTCCTCATCTTTTTTAAATTTTAAATTGTAAATAATACTGATATTTTTCTAATATTAAACCATCCTTGCACACCAGGTATGACTCCCATTTGGATGTGATGTATTTTTTTATGGTATTGGATTCTAAAAGGGAGCTCTGATGGCCTCGTAGCAAGAAGCTACACTGTAATCCTGAAAGCACATGGCTCGAATTCACCGGCTGTTCTGTGGGAAAAGGATGAGCAATCTCCTACTGTGCAATTAGATGCCTCTGAAAACTGGCTAGAAATTCGGCTATAGGTTGGTTCCATCTCAACAGTACACAACAAAGACATTTGATTCTTTTGGCTACAATTTTGCTGAGGACACACACAAACAGTTTGCCATCGAGAAAAATTAACTCAAAGCTTCTATTTTAATTTCTGAAGCATGAATTTATTGCCATAAATCTGCCACTAAGTATATCTTTTTTTGTGTCCTAATGATTTTAGTATGTTGAGTTTTTATTCTCATTTATTTTTAGCAATTGCTTTATCTAAAATTTTATTTCTTCTGTTATCCAGAAGTTTTTAGCTAGGTATTTGGTATTCATATTTCTAAGTGTATGATTTCCTTGTACCTTGATTTTCCAATTATTAATTTCTTGTTTTAATTGTTGTGATTTAAGAAGATAGTCTGCATTATTTTTATATTTGTAAAATGATGTTCAAAGTATGTTAGATGGAGCCTCAGAATCCTTGCATCCAAGGAGCCATCCAGTTTCACCCTTTCCAGGATGAATCTGTTTGTTTTCCTAGCAGTCCATGGTATTCTCAATATTCTTCTCCACCACCACAGCTCAAAGGCATCAATTTTCCTTCTATCCT